ATGAATTCGATATCGATATAGCTATCGTCCCCAAATACCTAAAAACAATTATAACTGATTTCTCAATTGTTTCTCGAGTAGCAGTTCCTTCTACTGAGGAACTGGCTCTGCTCTTTGGGTCCCCGGAGCTATAATCGTTGCAGAAAGGCGTTTCTTTTCCTTCTCTTAACTCAGAAGCATCTGTTTTATGTGAATGATGACTATCCAACTCTCCTACAGCTTCGACGTGCTCAGTTACTGCTGAGGCAACTGCATCTTGCTTCTCCTTTTTTAGTGATTTCCCATGTTTATGTTTGTTTTTCCTCTTTGCTTCAGGTTGAGAGGAACTATTCAGTTCATGAGTTAAAGGCACACTTGGCAGATTACCGCTTAAATGTTCTTCCCCAGTAATGACATTTGGGTCACTTACATCATTGCCTTTTGTTTTATCTGGAAGCCGAGAACCAGAATCAACATGTTCTTTTCTTGTGTTTCCTAAATGACTATTAAAGCCGTGCTTTACTTGGCCTCCTTTACGAGCCATAACACCCATGAGAAATGCGATATCAGCAAATACTTGAGTGAGAAATCATTTTATCATTAACAGTGATGTCCTACTAGCGCACATGCCTGTTACCATAAAAAAGACCCAGATTCAACCCAGTGACTATTACATGCAAATGTCGAAAACTAAATACACATAGGATTCAAGTCATCCAACCATTCTATTATTAGCATAATAGATATACAACAAGAAGGGGCATCAAAACCACTGAGAAATCATAAAGCCAAACTATTTCTTGACCAACCAAAATAATGCATCCCTTTGTGCATTGTAAATAAGTTTACAATCCCCCCCCCCCCCCCCCAATAAAATTAAAGCCTGGGTGGATTAAAATTTTAAGGGCATCCTATTATTACTCCCAAATAATAAAAAAAAATCTTTATTACTTGGTTGCAATGAGTGAGTGCAGATTACTTTCGCTCTTCTTTATGAAGCAATTGTTTCTGGCAATAAGTGCAAGGATCTTAACTAGTTTCCCTTTTGAGTGTGCCTGTTCAAAGCAATTGCTGTTCAAACGCCACAATCCTGGAGCCCCTATCTTGTGGAGAGAAGTAAGTTCACACCTCAGTCATATTAAAATGAGAAGGTATATCACAATTGCAGATGAAGTTCAAAAATGATCTCGTACGCTATAGTTACTTTTAACAAGAAATGACGATTGACAGTAAGATGCAGCGCATAGATATTGAAGTATTGAAAAACGAGTAAAGCAATTTCAAGCAAAAGAAATCTTACCGTGGAAATCCAAGCTTAGCGACGGAGAGCTATAGGGGCAGCATAAACGTTGTTGAAACCCCGCCAATGGTATGTAGACTTTCTCCCGAAGTCAAAACCCTAACATGGTCATAAATTTCTTGAGAAAAAAGAGGCAATCGCAGGACAGAGCGTTTATAGTAGCAGTAATGGGAGGAAGCCGATGAACAGAACCGTCGTGTAGAGCGTAGTGGGATGAAAACGAGGACTGATTTTTAAATTTTTCTAATAGATAGTACTACTCTATTAATTTTAATTCCGTATAAATCAGATTAGGGAAACAGACACATGATTCGAATGGAGAAAAAAATTGCTGGATGCGGGCGTGATTCTCAAATCTCAAGTCTCAAGTTTCAACTTTCTCCCTGGCTTTCGTTTCACTGCCGTTTTCGGATGGTGGGCTTTCGGGTTTTGCCCGCATTTGCTCTTTTCTTCATCTTTATGTGCTCAATCATTTTTATGTAAAGAGCTAATTTCAGTGACATAGCTAAGGTCCAACTTGGGCTAATTCTGTAGGGGGGATCAACATAATATTTTTACACTAATATTTAAACATTTATTTAATTTGAGGTGAGGCGAGACTTATCATCAATCTCATCTAGCTTTGCATGTGGCTAGTTTCAGATTTAGTTCTTGACATCTCTGAAATTATTTTATGATTATCTTTATATTGAGCTCATATGGTAATATCCAAATCGACTGTATTGACGGATTGTGCTGAAATTTATGAAGTTCTGATTTAAATGGCTGAATTTATTGATTCTGTTGATTTATAAAAAAAAATATTTAAAAAATATTTTATTAATAAAATAAATAAAAAATTATATTCAAAATATACTTTACTAATAAAAGTCGTGTATGCAAAGGATTGAACATATATGCATGACATATTTTATTTTAAAATGATGCATTCATTAGAATTAGAATTAGAGATATGTGTTCTTCATGAATATTTTACCCTTCAACTTAATCTTATAGTCATACAAAAATGAACACAAATGGGTAACTTCACATGGATATATAATGAAATATATATCAAATGTGACATTGATTGAAAAGATTTCCCTTTGGATTTGAAATATGTTTTCTTGATAAAAGTTGTAACTTTATAACTTGGCTTTCTATTGATATAGAAAAACAAGCTCAAATGGATAGTACTACCATACATCGCAATACCAGTAAAGTTCAGCACAAAGCATATTGATTGGACATATGTACATGATACACATTTATTAAAAACGAGTGCATTCCTCAAGATTGGAAATTTGTTATCTTCAAGGAAGTTGTACCCCTTTAAGTTAATCCTAATGATACAACAATAATTTCAAATATGTGATCCTATTACGTGATATAGTCGAACTTCTACTACGTATTATCGAATTATTTCTACCGCATTATCATTGTTGAAGTATTTGTCTCACACCGGAAAGTTATAAAACAATTAAATACTATATAAGGCTTTGAGCTACTCCTCCTATCAGGTTGACCTTTTAGGATGGAACCCCGGATCTTAACAATCATTTTAATTGATCAGATTTTCATTAAGATGTTATCAAAGTATTTCTACTACATTGTCATATTGATAGAACATATATTCATGATATATTTGACAAGAAAGTGTCACATGAGCTAACTGGACCTTTAAGCTTTATCCTAACTCGACTCATTCTCATCTCGCTTCATAAAAGATCCTAGACCCGTCTCTAGTTGCAATTTTTCAAATAACACAAATCATGTTAGGTAATTAAGAAGTGTTCCATCCATCCCATTTTAAGGTTCTCACTTTTGTTTTCTGAACATCTCATATAAAAGTTTTCATTTCTATTTTTGCAAACAATTAACACTCTTAAATAACAATTTAATAATCAAATGCGTAGTATTAAAAATAATACATCTTAACATCACAATGATCATCAATGACCACATTACATTATATACTCTTCAAAACTATTTCTCAAAATATACTCGAATTATGTTAATTAATTATTGTCTAAATTATCGTGTCATTTTGTAATGAGAACTTTTAAGCGGGACAGAGGTAGCAACAAGGATAAAGACTCCAAAAAATATTAAGAATAATATTATGCATGTAAATTATACAAATAAAACGTAATTGTTATATCCTCAAACAAAATCAATACACTTTTTTAGTTGTCCTAAGATTATCACTTATTTTATTTAAAGAAATTTGTATGCAATTTATTTTATTTCTTTCTGCCAAATAAATTTCAATCGCACCATTATTTTCACAATTTCTTTACTCGATCAAATGAGAAGCTTATTTTAGAGCATCTTCATTCGTATTTCTCACATAAAAAAATGTTTTATGATCCTTATCTTTAAAATATTATAACAAGTAACTTTTCTAATAATAATCTCTTACCCTCTAAAATACCTTCAACCATCGTCTCGGAATAAATCACATTTTTTGTTACTTGGGGTCATATACTGCATTGTTGATATATTTGGGGTCTTTACTAATTACAAAGATTCCTTCCGATTTGTTCATGAGAAAGACTTTTTTGTTCGAAAAACATGCACAAATATTTATAACCTATGTAGCACTGATGGGTACGCGGAAATGCGAAAACAGGTATGGAGATACGATAAAACAAAAAAAGCGGGATATGAGTACCTGAGTATATTTATAAATATTAAAAGCTATGAGGGTCTATTTATGAATATTAAAAATTATGGGGAGCGTTTATAAATATTAAAAATTATAAGATTTTTTATGTTATCCAATGATATATGCCCATTAAGGACATTGAATAATTTCACATTATCAAAATAGTTATAAATAAATTTATATTTTATCTCATATACATTGGTGCATCTCGAAATAGAAATATGGTTAATAAGTCATTAATTTAAAATGAGAAACGAGTCAAACAACCATAGTTTTGAAATTAAAAGTGCAAGTACTCAAAATTTTTGGATGATTGAGATAAAATAAAATACCCTAATAAATGAAACTAAAAGTTCTAATTAGTTTCATTGGAACTACTAATTTCTAGTCTCCAAAAAAATAGTCTCCAATTTGGTTCATCTATGAAAAAGTTGGCAAACTAAAGTACTCATATATCCTTCATGCTCCCAAAGTCATCTCCACCGACATCCCACATTTCACTTGTCGTCGATATACTTATATTAGTTGTGTGCCAGATTACAAGGCAAAATTTATATATATTTCTTCATTATTTAAGAATTTTATTATGTAAAGTTTGGATGGTTTTTTTTTATATAATATAGAAAAGTTGATAAGTAGTGTTGGACTCGGTGCGGGCCACCCGACCCGGGAACCGGCCTGGCACTGTTTGGGCCCGGCCCGGGAACCTGGTACTGGTTCCGGGTCTAGGCCCGGTTTAAGGATGAAACCGGGGCCAGTTCCGGGTATGCTAAAATGTGAACCGGCCGGGCCGGGCCCGGTTCGGGCCTTTTTTTTTCTTTTTTTTTTTGGTTTGGGCTGGGTTTAAATGGGCTGGGCTGAGTGTTTCCGATGGGTTTGGGGGATGGGGGGGTAGGGGATGAAATAATCAAGAAAACAAAAAAATTAGAACCGGACCGGCACCGGTCAACATCCAGGCCGGTCCCAGGGTTCACTAATTTTTTTTTGGCCTGGCCAGGCCTAGGCCTGACCCGGGCCCGAACCTGACCGAGTCCATGACTATTGATAAGTGGTTCTGTCATGATACATGTATCTGAAATTTTGAAATATATAACAAAAAGTTGGAAACTTTTAATAAATTGCAAATACGACCCAAGAACATACATTACGTGAATCTTATAGTATCTGATATATGAACATTTCTGATACACCTAGACAATATCCCAATGAAGTATCCGTGCTACATAGTTTATAACCCATTCAATTACTCCTACTATATACATATTAACGTATGAAGTTTTGGCACCTAAAATGACCGTATAAAAATTTTCAAACTCTGATTTCCAATATAATATACTTCGTATCTAGCTCTCCAGAACTGAAGAAGAGCAACAATATACTCGTACAAGTTACTCCGTAGCTCGGAATACCACTTGATACTGTTGAGATTGTCAACACCATACAACCTTATTCTCAGTTTATTTTAGTAAAAGAATATCACAACTCGAGGATAAGTTGGCACCTTATTTTTATTTACATTGCCTTAAACTCAAGATTGCCAAATACTACAAGACTCTGACCATCAAACTTGTATTTTAACGATATTCACTCAAATGATCAATGCACCCCCAAAAGTCCATCAATTTATCAACATAAAAGAAGTGAATTAAAGGAGAATTCAATGACATGAAAAGATTGTGCTGCGAAACGAATAAGCAGAGAACCATAAAGGCAGCCTGGACACATTCTTCACAGAATACACCTCCTTCCACACCTTGCTCTTTGTCTTATACACCAAAACCTGCTTGTGTGTGGCAAGAAACACACATTCACCCGTTTGACTTATAGGAAACACCCCGGGAACCATCCCTCTTATGCATCTCAGACTCACTCGATCCACCAAGTCCCATTCTTCCTTTTCATAGCTTCTCATCACATAAACAATCATCCAAGCATCTGATATCCGTACAACAGACAAACATCCGTCCGATTCCAGCAAGTAAACCCGGTTTCCGACCGTGCAACCCACTTCGTCCGGCAGTCGGATTTCCCGCCAAACATCACTGGCCAAATCGAGGACTAAAACACAAGAACCGGTGTCAGTCAACCAGTGTAACGACCCATTAACAAAAACTGTCTGATTCTTGTTCATTTGCTTGAACTGGTGGTCTTGGAAGGAGACAAATCTCCTCCACTTATTAGATTCCGAATCGTAGATCAAACATATGAAATTCCTCTCGGGGCGGTGCCCGAATGACCGGTGGTACCCGGCCAGTACAACGTTATAGTGTCGCGTTGACAAATTGCAAGCCAGGCCAACTAGTGTGGCCTCACCGTCTGGGTAAAACCTAGTGATGTGTCTTTCCCTACTTCTGGGTAAAAGCTTGTACTCTCTGGTCATGGGATTACAGACATAGTAGACACCTTTATCAGGTATGCTTGAACAACACAACAGCCCATTACAGGAAGCCCTAACTTTCACTCTGTCTCTTACGAAATCGAGAGATAATTCAGATACGCCAGTTTTATTGTCGACGCAGATCAATCCGCCGGCGGATGAGGACTCGCATGCGTCCAATAGAACCATAGGGTTTCGAATTGATGCTTCGTTGTAGATTTGAGCGAAGTATTTGTCGCAAATTAGGGTTTTCCAGAATTTGCAAACGCATTTTGTTCTGGCAAGTGATTTTACTGGCAATCGTGCGAGAATCTGGACAATAACTTCCTCCGGGAAGACCCCCAAATTGTCAGTTTGATGATGATTCATAAGTCTACACGAAACAAAAGCAACATTGAGGATTCAGAAATGGCTTACCGTAGAATCAATAAGTGTTGGTGTAGGAGTTTTCTGGGGGAGGAAAGTCTCGACCACTCTTTCACAAATCACAAAGAAATGCGTGCGAGCGTCCCCAAGAAAAGAAATGAGGGTCAACCGTACGTGTTTATACGGAAGATTAAACATTAATCACCAGAGAGGTTTCGCTATAATGAAGTTTACTACCGTCCCTTAAACCTTTGTCATATTTGATCGATACGAATATTAATAAAGAAAAAATTGTATGATAGAGTTTTGTGTAAAGGAGAGAGAATTAATTAAAACCACAAATTCTTTATTTAAAAGGGAAAATAATAAAGTTAGCGAGACATCCAAAAAGGGACATTGACAAAGTTTAAAAGGACGGAGAGAGTTTAAAGGGACGGAGAGAGTATAAAATTGGAATGAATATTTGAATCAATTAAACAAATATGTTAAATTATGAAAATATTACATAATCTTTAAAAATAATTTTTTATTAATAAGAAGTGATGAAATTATGTCAAGTAATTTATGGTCTGATGGCATTACTGCTAATCTTCCAATGAGAATAGATTTTGGATTGCATCCCTACACTATTTGAAACATGAAACCGGTTGATCCGAAATTGAAACTTGACCAGGACAAGTGGGAATGTTGAATCCAGTCCATCCACCCCTATTTTGGAGCCGATTTAATAAAGTTACCCATCTAGTGTTTAGTAAGTTTATTAGACTTTGAAGTAAAGATTCATTGTCTTACTTAGACATTAACGACGTCATGGAGGGATTCGGGTCGGGACCCGGCCCGTGGACCGGCCCGCTACTGTGCGGGACCGGCCCGGTTCTCGGGTCCGGGTCGGGCCTAGGCCAGGGGGGAGGGCGGATGCGGGTTCGGGTCGTGGTTTTGGCGAACCGGCCCAGCCGGTTTGGGCCGGATACCGGGCCTATTTTAATTTTTATTTTTCCTATTTTTTTAACTTTTCGGGTTGGGCTGGGTATTTTGGGCCATTTGAGGTGGTTTGGGGGTGGGGGGGGGGGGGTTGGGGGTTAACTAGGAAAAGGTAAAAAAAATAGCAATTACCCGAGGCCCGGCCCGGCCCGACCCAGACCCGGGGATTACCCGGGCCGGTCCTGGGCCCCCCATTCCTGAACCGCCGGCCCAAACCGGGCCCGAACCGGCCCGGCTCCACCCCTAAACGACGTGTATATTCCTCTCTTGTTCCTCCGGTCCTCCCTACTTTCTGTCTCTTTGCCTCTATTTATTATTCATGCACTTTTTTTCTTCCAATGAGATTTTGATTCACAATAAAATGATGGTGAGAACTCCGGTACCCATTTAAAAAATGGGGTACTGTATCTACCATTCACTTCATTGGTCCACATAGGTATATCAATTTTAATTTAGACAAATAATTCAATTGCAACATTCTGATTGGTCCATGTGGACAAAGGTACGGTACCTTTTGGATACCATAGAATCTACCTAAAATGATAGGAGTATTGTGCACGTTTATTTTAGATTGTAGTCTAATTGGGGATGAGTTGCTAACTTGCCAATAAAATTTGGGAAATGGGAGGCTGTATTTTGGTTTGATGTCGTATTATGTAAGCTGATTTTGTGTGTGCTTATTTTGAGTTATGATTATGAATTATAAAGTTCAGGGCCGTCAAATGAATTTGGAAGCCCCGGTTCTAAATGTTAAATTGAGGGCCCACATTAATATAAACAATTTTGGAAAAATGTCAATCCAAATACATATATTCAAATCAATTGAGTACTCATTAAAAAGAACTAAAAGAGTAAAAGTACCAACCAAAAAAAATGATTGATCTATATTTTTCTTCCTTACTAAACGTATTTTACTGATTTGTATTACGGAGTAATATATAATATTACTTCATACTATATAATACTAAAATAAATTTAAATTTTGGGGCCCAATAAATTCGGGGGCCCTGTTTTGGATAACCTATTGAACCCCTAAAAAACGGCCCTGATAAAGTTCATATTAGAGGATTCTCTAGCATTTTCATGAATATTGTTTTCTCAGAAAAGGATATTTGAAGAGGTTATTAAAAGATTACCAAAGGAATCATCTTGGGTTATGGGATAACTAGATTATTAATACTAATTTAAACTTCTTTAATGTAGACATGTGTGTGTGCGCGTTTAATTTGTCTTACTTTTTTAAATACGAAATGCTTAAATCACATTTGTGTTTTAAACATTTAGGATGTTTTTACTTGGCCTGAAATTTGCAGGTCTGGTAAACGTATGATCTCTGTGTATTTTAAACCTAGAAATTTCAGGTCTGGTTTGGTCTGATCTAGTCTGATTTGTTTAAGTTTGGTAGATCAATGAAAACAATCCAAGTAAAAACATCTTTAATACTAATATTTAATCACATATTATGAAACATATACGGAATATAAATATGTGATACACTTGTAATCTTGTACACGAAAGTAAGTATTTTCAAAATTGGCTAAAACGTTGTACTAACAAAGGAATTAACTTGTAGTAGTCCTGGACTCGGGCCGGGTGGCCCGACCTGGAACCGGCCCGGGACCGGTACTGTGCTGAACCGGCCCGGCCCAGTGGCCCGGCCAGTGAAAGATCCGGGTAGGCCCGGCCCGAGGGGGTTCCCGGTGCGGGCTCGGGTCACCCAAAAGCCGAACCGGCCCGGCCGGTTCGGGCCCGGTTCCGGGTTTTTTTTTTCAATTGATTTTAACTTTTTGGGTTGGGCTGGGTATTTTGGGCCATTTGGGGTGGTTTGGGGGGTTAATTAGGAAAAGGAAAAAAATTGATCCGAGGCCCGGCCCGGCCCAGACCCGGACCGGACCCGGTGGCTACCCGGGCCGGTCCTGGGCCCACCTATTCAGAACCGGAGGCCCGACCGGGCCTAGGCCTGGCCCGGACCCGGCCCGAATCCACCCCTAACTTGTACGGAGTAGTTGTTAATGTCATGAAATGATTTTTTAGTTAAAACGTAGTATTAACAAAGGAATCAACTACGTTTTTTTCTTTCTAAAACGTAGTCCAAACAGACGCAATCTTGCATTCTTGCTTGATAAATTGGCCTTAGGCATTCATTTGTTCACCCGTTTAGTTCAAACTAAATTCCTACACCAACGACTAGATTGTGTTTGGTAAAAGGATGAGAAATAGAGGGGAAGAGAGCCTGTCAAGAAAAGGGAAAAAATATGTTAAAATTTGAGAGTGGTTTGTTCATTTAGAAGAAAAAATAAAAGACCCCGTATTTTTACTTTTGGGATTGAAAAAGTAGCAAGGAAAACTCCTCATAGGAAAAGTACTTTTGAAAACTACTTTTTAGGAAAATGGTTTTGAGAGTTATAAAGCTGGCACAAAGGTTGAAATAGGTACTACGTATAATTCAAACAAATAATAAAATAAAAAAGAAGAGCATTGTAACCCTCAAACGCACTCTAGAAAGTAGAAACGCAAAAATAATCTTGGATTGGTTTATGATGGCTGAACGTTTCCAATTAGTTTTGGACAAAGTAAATACTCTTTGGGAATGGACTACGACGAAAAAAAATTCTCACCACGAACGCTACCTGAAAGGGAGCCTAAAGAAACTTGTATGCTTTGTATAATTGTATATTGGGATTTTTTAGAGCACTTACCATTTTTTATGATAAAAGAGCACTTACCGTTTGTCAACCGCTGTACTATTTCTAGGAGATGGGAAAACTACTTTTAGTACAGGTTTATACTAAAAGGCATTCTTAAAATCAGTTTTAACGAGCTCTCTGTATGGGTAAAGAGGTTTCAGGCAACCTTGCGGAAGAAACAGGAGAGAGGGAGATGGGGTGAACCAGTCAAAGATTGAGCTACATTATTGACCTCACCCTAATTAAGCTAATACAATTCATAGAAGCAAAAAGACAACTGGTAGCAGTTTTACTCAACTGATTTCTAATTTCCTGAGTCAGAGCTGTGCATAGTGGGAATTGACAATGGACTACGTTGGTACAACTTTCCTGCTACACCATCTACTCCTGCAAATCAACCTCCTGAAAAGCATTAAGCCAGTATATTTATAATTTCACCGCAAATAAATTTCGACAAAAGGAAAACATAAGAATCAAAGGGTTTTCACGGATCGGATGGAATAGAACGTGAGGAGACCGCATCCAATCCGCCTTTTGTAGATCCAATTTGGAACATGTCTTGAAACTTGTGCAAGCGTTTGCCGAAGTGCACTGCCTCCGTGTGTGGCAGATTCATATGTTTTGAATCCGCATCTAATTCTACCATTAGGCACATCCATGAGCACCTTTGTCAAGAATATGTATATTCACACCTAATATTCCTCGCTCTATAAGCCATAAAGTGATGTACATAGTATCTTTTTACTACTTTGATGTATGTTCGGATCCTGGCAAACTGACTATGCTTAACAAAAAAGGAGGGAATATCATTTTGAGATGTAAAGATATTATCACACATAGGAATAAGAGTCATCAGCCTTAGTTCACACTTGAAGTTTTTTTTAATGATAGTTCACAATTGAAAATGATAACAAAAATATATTTAATATACATTTTTTAAATAAAGAGAAAGATAGCGTACCCGTTGAGAATTCACCCATGTGCCATTTATCCATTCCCGATGCGGCCTCAAACCATTATGTCGAACTTCCAACAACTCATTTGCAGTCCCAAAACAGACACTATACCTCCCATCCTCAAGAACATTACATACTTGACCGGCCCGCCAACCATTACTAAACCAAGCATCAACTTCTTCAAGAGGTCTGTACTGGTCAGTTCTTTGCAATATAGGAGGAGAAGGCCTTATACACAAAGCATCTGCTACGTCAATCAGCAGTTCATTTGCATGATCATATTTTAGTGTCCTGAACTCTACCATGTACTTGTCATTTCCTATTGGCCGTAAAATAAAAGCCGGATAATACCAAGATCTTCTCTGATTTTCATCTCCGTCTTTCACCTCCACTTTTGTTCCAGCGCAGAAAGGTCCACATGACACAATTCCAGTGCTGAATCTCTTCATCATCCCAAGTTTGGGATTAGGTAGCTTGTTGGACTTCTGCAGTTCAATAAAGAAACTACCATACATAAGCAATGATGATAAAAAAAAAAGAAAGGCCCTTTTGTACATGGAAGTTCTTGGAGTCACATACCCTGAAGGCAATTTCCCATTTCCCATCAACCCATTCCTGATGAGGCCTGATACCATGATGTTCAAATTCTATTTCTTCATTTGTGTTCCAGAAATACACCACATACTTTAAGCCTGCAAGGACTTTGGAAATGAGACCCTCCCACCATCCATCATTGTACCAGGCATCAACTTCTTCAAACATTTTAAAGCGATCTAATCGTTCAATGACGGGAGGGCAAGGGCGGATATTGAAGGCATCAGCCTTTTCTTTAAGAGGTTCAGATTCATCATCTGTCTTCAGAGTCTGATACTCCAACACATACCTGTTCTCCTCTTCTATAGTGTCGAAAATGACTGCGGTGAACCAAGAACCATGGTAACCTTCTTCAAAGCTTGTGGCTTCTACTATCATTCCCTTGCTGAAAGTTGGAACTGATGCCTTTCCATCACTTCTGATCTTCACCTTCGTGGCATACAAATTTGCTTTCACAGCGTTTGAGCTCCTTGGCAAATCAAACTAAGAAATTGCAAAGACATACATAAAAAACATCAAATGTACTCCTTCCTCCCATTCTATGTGTCCTGTTTTGGATCGTGAGGTCATATTAAAGTTAAAGTTGAAATACCCCCTAATAATATTTAACTGAGTATTAAAAATTAAAATTTATTTAAAAACAACAATAAAAGTTCAACTGAATCACAAAAGTAATTTGAAAATGTTTAAATATCTGATACTCAAAATCAGGAAAAAAAGCAGTTAGGTTTGATGAATGAATGGTGAAAGCGACCAACCAGTTGGGATGGAGGCAGCAGTAAGCCAGTAGGTAAGAATCATCACAACAAATTAAGACATTATTATACCTTTGTTGCTGCAACCCATTTGTTGTTTATCCAATCTTGATGAGGCCTCAAGTTAGAATGTTCAAATGTTGAGAATTCATTTGCGGATCCCAAACAAACCACATATTTCATATCGTCAGAAACCTCCCACACATATCCCTCCCACCACCCCTTATTAAACCAAGCATCAACTCTGTCAAGATACTCAAACGGATTAATCCTTTCGATTTCACGTGGATATGGTCTGACGAATGTGGCATCAACCTCTTCTGTGAGGAATTCAATCCCATTCTCTGACTTTAGGGTCTGATATTGCACTAGGAACTTCCCGTTTTCTAATACCTTCATAACAACTGCAGCATACCAAGATATATCAACACCTTCCTTGTCATGTTTAACCTCTACAAGCTTTTCCTTACCGAACTTTCTAACAAGTGATCTACTAGTACATTTTATCCGGAGTTTGACTCCACTTGCTGTAATTACTGAATCTTTAGATATGTTCTGCGTGTGAATATATGCTGTGTAAGTCACAAGTGACATGAGATTTCTATTAAGGACCAAGGAATATTATGTAAGTCATGTGTGCACATGTAAATCAAACCAACAATCACTTGCACTATTCAACAGCTAGACAGTTCAAAGTTTTCTGAAGTACAGAGGAAATCCACTTGGAAGTAAAAAAAAATATTGTGCAATTAGAAAAGCCAAACACTAATTCTATATTAATGACATGCTGTGGAGATACAAAACTACATGAAATGCTACAAAAATTAAGAGTTTTGTCAAATACACAGGCAAGAAAAAACATACTCCACTACTCACTTACTCAGTGCTTACTTTGTTTTATTAAGCGTGAGGGGCCAGCATATCGTCTTTAGTTCCAAAAAGTAGTCTACAGTAAATGTTTGACTCCAGTCTCACGGTATCAAATAAAAAAGTCTCATTTATTCCTTCTTTTGCTACAGTAAATTAATACAGTTATCAATGGAATAAGAATCTCCTTTTTTCTTCCATTCATGGTTGATAACGAAGCATCAAGTGTGTGAACAATAACACAGGCATGTATACTGTATACTCCGTAAGTCAGCAATAAAACCATCAATTCATCATCGAATCAGTTAATACTATTACTAAGTACCTGCGGGTACTGTTGCGGGTGACAGTCTGCTTGAGGCTGAAGTGGTGGATCCCAAGACCCATCTTTCCAGTCCCTATGCACCCTCAACTGCCATTGCTCCGCCTTCACACTATCCCCCTCTTCTTCTCCGTCCTCAACTCGAAGAGCTACCACGTACACTGAGTTCTCCAAAATTTCATCTACTGTGCCTTCCCTCCATCCTTTAAGTTCATACAAAACATCCGCGGTGTCCCCTACTTTAAAATAGCAGCACATTTCTCGCGGCGGCGCAGGGCGAACGGAGGAGGAGTGGACGTACTCCTTTCGCCGCTTCGCCGGATCATCATCGGCGCACAAAGTCTCAAATTCCACGTATATTTGACCGGCCCCGTCGTTCCTCTTCACAGATGGTCGGAGCACAGCCGCCGGAAACCATATTGAAAATTTTTCGCGCTTGAGAACTTCCACTTTGTCTCCCTTTTTTAAGTGCAGCGATTCAGCAGACATTGCGTCCTTCGGACGCCAGTGGTCTTACTTCCCTAGAAGGTTGGAAATGTAGAAACCCTAATGCCTGAGGAAGAAAGAGATAGCGAGCTTAGCTGATGGAGAAGGGAGAGTGGCAGCAATTCGATTACTCAGTTGCTCAGTCATACATAGCATGATAAAATGGTGAGTGGGGCAGTTATGTAATAAAATACGAGCACTTTGGGAGGAATTTTAAATGGTGGGATGAATTTTGTGGTATACATTTATTTTGTGTATATTTCTATATGTCTTTCTACCAGATAGATTTTAAAATTTAAATGAATTGTTCGTGTTGACAAACGGTTAGGCCTCGATTGGTTGGAGGACTTTGGGAGGAGGGAAGGATAATAGAGAATCGATGTTTGTTTGGTTGGAAGAAGAGAATATTATCCGAAATAGGACTAAAAAGGTTTGAAAATTTCAAAACAGGACTGTCATGTTTTTATTTCCAAAATATGACTAATTACTGTCATGTTTTGGTAGTACCAGACTTCAAACATGACAGTAATAACTCTTATTTTGGAAATAAAAAACATGACTGTCCTATTTTGAAATTTTCAAACTGTTTTAGTCCTATTTCGGGAACTTTCCCTCGGAAGAAATAGGGAGGAAGGCTCGACCTGATTTTTAAAGGCTCGACCTGAACTAGGGTATTTCAGGAGATATCAAAGGCTCGACCTGATTTTTAAACGTAAATGGACAAAATGACTCCTGAATTCCTCCGACCTTCCTTTGCGTCATTCAGGAGTAGCTGCAATCCTCTCTAAAAATGGATCAAATTGATCAGCTCGCAGCATAATCGACAATCATGGATCCATGCATTAGAAATGGTTTTAAACTTAGTTCGGTGGATGAGTGCACAATACAACAATAAATTTTGTGTGCAAAAGACTTAATTTAATGTATAGCTTATGAAAACTTTGTAATACTTCACGCATTCATTTTTTCAAAACTACAATAAATTATACTCCGTATATATCCGCATTAATGCTTTCGAATCGATCATTCTCATATCTTAATAAAATATCAGCTCGCATAATCTTCTTTACTAATACTCCCTAGGGGTGAGCATGGGATGGTACGGGACAGTTATTTCAAAAAACATGTCCCGTCCCAAAGTACGGTTCTTTTAAAAATTAAGAACCGGTACCGTCCCGCATATATATAGAACCTGTCCCGTTCCGTACCAATTTTTCAGTACGGTTCGGTACGGTTCTCCGGTGTTATTTGGTTCTTAAATAATTAACCCCCATGAAATATAATTAACCCTATTTACGTAATATTGTTTATATCATTTAGTATTGTTTTTGTTTTAAAGCTAACTTTTAATGCTGTCAAGTCTTAATAATTGGATTACGCCCAAAGAATATGCAAGATTGCATATTTGTAATAAATGGACGTACGGTCACTAACATTTATACTCAGTAATATATTATATATAATATATTATTATATTATAACACTAGTTTTCGGGACAATTCGGGACGGTACGAGACGGTTCGGTTCAATACGGTTCCGGGACGGTTCTCACTAAGAACCGGTACCGTACAATATTATTAAAAAAGCTCGGTACGGTATTACATTTTTCTGGTTCTTTTGGTTCTGGAACGGTACGGGACAGTTCTTCGGTACGGAACGGGAATTCCCAGATCCGCGCTCAGCCCTAATACTCCCTCCATCCCATGAGACTTTGAAAACTTTCTCTTTTTGATTTTACAAAAAGCTTTATCACTTTTCCATTATAGTATTAATTTGTGATTTTGCTCATTTCTCTCTTTGCACAAAACTCAATTACACAATTTTTACTTTTCTTATTTTCTCACCCAATTCAAAGAATGCAATGTCCATCGGGACGGAGATAATACTACAAATTTACGTGATTGTATGAATATAATTAACCTTTATTGATGTTTATTATTGTTGGGTTAATGGCCCAACCAGGGGGTCGGCCCATTACCCCTTCATCGACGAGGCCAGCCAAGGGAAAGTGTCCTCCACAACCCAAATCATTGGCAATGTACGTCGCGCCATGGATGCCCGGCCCCATAGCTCTAGCCACAGTATTAACTGGTATATTCCTGCAACAACAGCCAGAAGACGTACGGCTCGCCACCCTTACGGCTCACCACCCTTGATCACATCATCAAGGAAAGATCCAAGACTCGCAGGGACGCTCGTCCCCAATCACTGGGCGAGAAACCAAGATTCTGGCGGGAAGCGCATTTAATGCAGGAGATTTGGTGGTTGGGGCCCTAGCCATCCACAGCTCTCCACGTCAGCATATCCACCTGCCCCTTTGTAGTATATAAATAGTGGCATTTATTTCATTGTAAAAGGTTGGTAACTTACCCGCCTTAGCATTCTAGCATTCTGATAGCTCTTAGCAGTATTCTCAGCTCTTCCCTAGCGTGAGAGACAAACGGCCATCAGCTAGATAGCATTAGCGTGTTGTATATGGACCCTTATCGACATTAATAAGATACAGCCCACTATTGCAGATACATTTTAGCCCATCTTACTTGCTATCATTCTACACTCACACTCACTCTTCCATTCGAAATCCATAGGTCACGTGTTGGCCTACGGGTTGAAAGAATAAATCTCAACAATTTTTTTAATACTTATCAAAGTAACACTACCGGGACATGCCCCAGGTGTTACACTAGTTTATATGAAGAGAAAGTACATAGAGTAGGAGACTAGATCAATGCCTATACATATCTTAACCATGTAGATCAATTAAAATATAATAGGAACCTAGATCAATGCATATACATATCTTAACCATGTAGATCAATTAAATATTACCATTGAATAGTAGGGGTGAGATTTTGGAACCAAGAACCGGAGAACTGTTGGAACCGCAGCGTTAAAATCCGGTTCTGTTCTGTTCCTACACATGAGTTATAAATTGTTAACGGTTTGGTTCCTATTCTTTGTTAACGGTTCGGTTCCTATTTTCTACAAAAAAAATATGTCTACGGAATCGTTAAAGAAACGTTATTAAAAAAAGTATAATAATAATAATAATAATAATAATAATAATAATAATAATAATAATAATAATAATAATAATAATAATAATAATAATAATAATAATAATAATAATAATAATAATAATAATAATAATAATAATAATAATAATAATAATAATAATAATAATAATATAATCAATGATATTTAGTCACACAACAATTCAAATTTAATTGATGGAAACAGATGAGGATGAATATATTAACCTCGTTTTGTTACAAATCATATTTTGTTCCATATCAGAAATTTCATATAAAATTATACAAGTAACCCAAATGAATTCGTTTAGTTCAATATTTTTTTCTTTATAATAATACTTCCTCCGTCCCATTGGACTTTGTCAACTTTACCTTTTTTGTTGTCCCAAAAAACTTTGCCACTTTGCTATTAAAATAACTAATTTGTGGTTCTGCACATTTCTCTCTCATCTGCACAAACATCAACCACATAGTTTTTACTATTCTTATTTCTCACCTACTTTGCACTTGGCAAAGTCCACCGGGACGGAGGTAGTATTTAAAATGATTGTAATTGTGAGATATAGTATAAATAATGCTCCCTGGATTTTAAATGTAATTATGTTTATATTTGTATATACTTGCGTATTCAATATGTTTTTTAACATTTTGAGGAACTTGAACTAGACGTCTTATTCTACTAAGATGACCCAACTTTTATGAACAACGATTTCATATTGTATCTACAAACAAAATTAAAAAGTTCTTTCATTCTATTAAATGTTGAATAAATTAAGTTTGGACTTGATATTTGAAGTGATAAGAGCTTCAAAAAATACCTAAGCTATTTCTTGTGTTTTGAATTTTCGACGTTTTTGCGTTGTATAAGGTAAGTTGCATGTGTTAACTTTTTTATAGAAAAATTTATCTTTAAGAACCGATAAAAGTAAGAACCGAACCATGTACTGTTGCTTCAGTTTCATAACGATTAATTGAGTTTTTTTGTAACAGTTTCACTAATTTCATATAAGAACTAAACTCATCCCAGACCTATATATTGAATAATTTAAAAGTAATAACGTCTGAAATAACAACATCAATTAATCATATCCATGGTAGATAATAGCCCTCACTTATAAGTAGGGCATTGTAACATTCATCAATAAATATATGTAACTTCTACAAGATGGACTTGGTATGTTTATTACAAAAACACACGAAGTATCATACTAAACACTACTCTATTAGACAAATCAAAGGCATGGAAACCTTATAGCTCCGGAGGGATAGACAAGGAAGGAGAGCACGAGTAGAGAGGAAGATCAAAAATATCTAACTACAATGAGTCAAAGTCATTTTCGACTTGAACTCATCCTACAAACTATAGAATACTAATAAAAAACAAAAAATTAGGTCTTACAAGGTCAAGAACAGGCCTTACAAGGTCAAGAAAAAACACTTAACTAAAAAAATATCTAAAATAAAAAAAACATAAAAATCCAAAAGCTCAAGTAGGATAGCACCAGATTAATGGGCCGTCATGTTGACCCACAATTCAAAGAAGCATCCAAGACCCACAAGACCCAATACTTGGTCGGTTTTCAGATTTTCCCTTTGTGGTGAAGTGATGCGGTTGAACATATGGTCCTTTTCAACTACAACTTTACCTGCAATCGCATCACCAACGATATGACCATTTAGATGTTTAAGCAATTTGTATGAGAGTAAACATGGACAAAATATAACAACATGAAAATTTACATTTTTTAAAATAAAATTTATTTATTCCTATAAAAAGGGTGAACAAGTAAAACTTTCAAAGAGATGCTTAATTTTGGTGGAAAATGTCACTTCTGTAGTATGCTACTTCCTCTATTATGGGGATAACTTCTCACTTTGACAGTAATAAAAAGTAGGGGAAAAATGTACTGTCAAATAAGTTCTTCTTTAGGAGGCTCTGTCCGGCCGTCGCCATTTGGGGCGATTCCCGTCAAAGTTTTTTGATGAAAATTTTTGAGCATCTTATTCAATAAGTTTAGTTTACTCATACCAAATTTCAGCTAAAACTTCAATGGGGAAGACATTCAAATGAATTCTTGAAAATAACTGCGCAGTTAGAATCGCAGTTATTTTAAAAAATTCATTTGAATGCCTTCCCGATTGAAGTTTTAGCTGAAATTTGGTATGAGTAAA